CCTCCCACAGCTTCCATGCAAGACGCTGCCTGGCGTCTAGCTTATCATAATCCGCATCAACTGTGCTATGCACACACGGTCGTTCATATCCTTATCTCTCTCTTGTCAGACGGACTGTTCCCAGATCCTTCTTTAAATTCCATCCTAACGGAAATAGGTTCCCTGAATGGCAGATCCTCTCATGCGGATGTTCGGAGGTTGCGACATCTTCGTCCGCTGCTAGCAGGATGGCGATTACGACCCAGGCAGGAGGATGCATCTCAATTTCTGTTGCATATCTCTCAGCGTATTCCAGATCTTTCATCAGATAAATGGGAGGCGCGAGTTCATATATCAGCACCGGAGGAACGCATAAGCGTTGAGGAAAAAGGCGGCTTGATTCTGTATCTACCCGAGCCGCCGGATGGACTCTCGACTCTTCAGCAATCAGTAACACAATGGACGAACAGGGGTAGTGTGTTTGCCTTGCTTCCAGATACAAGACTCATTTGCTTACAAATTCAAAGATTTGATCAGCAAATCAAAACTTCCCGCCCACAAGCGCTGGACACAGTTCTTGAGATGCCAATGTTTCAAGATAACGGAACCTCAACAGAAGCAGTGTCCTTTAGCCTCTATGCATTTATTATTCATATCGGCGAAGACTGGAACTCTGGACATTACAGAGCGGGATTTTGGAGAGAGAGCGTAGCGTACCTAGCTGATGATAGTGAATCGCCAAGACGCACCACGCTCCTCTCGGATCAAATATGTCGAGGTTCTTACTTGGCCTTCTATGTAAGAGTATAGATTCAGCTAGGTAGCCATGAGGCAGGCCTTTGCACAATCGTCAGCACCCTCCAAGTCCAAGCGTGCGGATGAGCCAGATGAAGATGATTCTCCAACCAAGAAGATCAGACAGGCTGAACCGAAGAACATGCCAAAGCAGAAAGCCAAAGGAAGGGGTCGGGGCACTGGCCGGGGCGCTTCAAATGAGAAAGTCCTACAGTCCCTAACCAGGCTGTCCATCAACCATGAGGACTCGCTGAATACACTTCAGCAGGAACTGAGCTGGGTCATGTACCTGACCACCGGTGAGCTGTCCATTCTACCGAACATCTATGCGGAGAAGTCCAAAGACGCTTCGAAGTTGTCTACTCCATTCCGAACTCGAGCCATGAGATTGGTCTTGGAGCAGACCTTAGAAAGAGTAGAGCAGATTCAGACTAAAGAAGAAGTGCTAGTGGATGCGGAGAAAGAGGGTTGGGTGGTACGTGTGAAGGACACCGAAGCTCCAGCCTTTGTCTACCAGCAGTGGAGCAGTGAGCAAGACAAGACGGTGCATGACACTGCTCGAAGGGCAGTCCCCGCAGAGGACGTCGTTCAATTGCTCAAAACGTGCTTGGAGGAGCTTGCGCAGCACCCACAGTTGATCTCCAGGCTCATGCCCTCACGTCCGATCGTCGAGAAGATGACAGGTGGCCCAGTTCGAGTCCACATCCAGGTCCAACTCCAACATCTCAAAGGTAAGTTCCATCAAGCCCTGTCCGGACTCACGGACAATGCAGTCTGGGCAGCCATTGACGGCTCACTAAGGCCAGGGAGCGTTCAGCGTAGTCCAGCAGCTAAGTCGCTTGCAAAGCAGGCATCCGGCAGCAGCTAGCTCATAGAGCACCTTCAGCTAGAGAAGATCCTTCCACATAGAGGCAAAAAAATTCTGCATTGCCTTCAATAAGCGCCGAATTGTCTCTCAGCTTGCCTTCCTCTCCCAGCAACATCTGTATTTCTCCTATCACAGCAGCTTTTCTTGCTCGCGCAATCAATCCCATAGCTGGCTAGTAGAGAGCCAATGTCATACCGAGCTGAACGCATGTATGCCAGAGAGGGCTGGATCTTCACGGAGGCTGATCGAGTGGCACTTTGGGAGCTGGATACTGCGCTAAGTAAAGCCCAGAAGCTTATAGATGCTCAAGCTCACCTCATCGAGGAAATGCAACGGGATCAGGTCAGACTACATGGGCAGGTCCGGCAACTGAACGCAGAGGTGACTCAGCTCGCTCAGAGTGCACAGATCTATGGAGCTCACATCGAGCGTCTCTATCGTCTGTCCGACACCCAAGCTCTCTCTGAACGGATGGACTACTTGACCTGGACTCTTCATTACCAAGGCATCAGAGTCATGCTACCAGGACCATCGTCGAGCAGTGTGAGGCCAAGAGCACAACGGCGGCCTGCTCAGAATCCGTACTAGTACATAGCTTCCTAGATGGTCTGTATTAGAATCAGTCCTCGTGTGAGATGTCTTCAGCACCAGGGAGTCAAAAGCCTCCGCTATCACTGCATCATAGCCCAGCCTGTATGCGCGCACTCGCGTTGCATAGCTCGGGAGGCTTCCTCCGGAGGCTTCCTCCATGCTACGGTCGGCGGCCTACGCGTGTCAGAATTACAGCAAGTGCAATCACTCACCCTCTGAGAAGCAACCACTCCTTCCTTCTTAGGATATTTCTCCCCTGTCCGGGTTCTCTTTCAGGTTGGAGGATTTGAGAATAGCTTTCTCCTCTGTAGGGACACCCACCAGCTGCTTGGTTGAAGTTCGCTCATTGACCCAATGTAATGCCGAAGCTTCTCTCAAGCCAATAGGATCAGGCCCTCAACATGGAACGTGATTTGACGAATGATGAGTTTGAGGCTTTAAATAGAAGGCGAGAGCAACAAGGCAAGGAACCACTGAGCTGGCGGGACGCACAGCGCCAGGCCCGACAACAGAGGAGGCAAGAAGGCCAAAGCAGCTCCGTCCTCACAGCCTGTCACATTCCTGCCAAGAGCGGAGGCTTCCTCCGCGGAGGTTTCCTCCGAAAGAACTCCAGAACAAGCTGAATCCATTTCCTTTCTGGTTCCTGATTTTGATCAGAGGGCCAGTGGGCAGGCATCAGACTGGAACACCAGCACTCATGTCCAGAGCCGCTATGCATGGAACAAGCGTCACAAGGAGCGTGAACAACTGGATCCGACTAAGGATGTCATGGAGGAGGCCAAAATATTTATCCGCGCATTTCTGAGAACGCGTAAAGGTCCGAGCAACTCAGATTTGACTGCAAAGTTGGGAGATCCTGTCATGCAGGAAGACTGGGTGCGCTTCCCCCTAAGAGATGTTGTTCAGAGACGCACCGGCATGGATGACAGAGTGGGCTATCATGGGACAAAATTGGAATCGCTCTACTCGATCCTGTATTTAGGAAAGTTGCAACCGTCCCAGGATTCCTCTCAAGGAGAACAATATTTCGAGGGCTACCCAGGAGTCTACATCCATTCCGGCAGGCATGAGCGCAAGGCGGAGTCATATGTGACGCATGTGTGGTTTCCCATCTTGAAAGAAGGCAACAAGTCTCTCCGAGCAGTTGCGGCCAAATTAGCAGTGTCGTTCGACCAGGCTGCAGGATCTCTCCGTGGCTCCAAAGCAACGGATCAGTACATTCTAAGGGAAGACTACGTCCAGCTCGAGGCGCTGTTGCTTCACATCACAGACTCACTGCCTTTGGGGACCTATGTGCAGACTGGCTGGAACCCCCTTGCGGAAGCTGCCCCAATTCAACGCATAGCGAGGGAAAGACCGGAGGAGCCGAGTTCATACAGAAATCCACCAAGATCCTCCTCCCAACCTGCCAAGGAATCAGATGCCTTTCAAGATGATGATAACTCCACCTGGCAGGCCGCAGCTCTTCCTGGGAGAGGAAACAAGGCAATGGCCTCTGACCAAAGCGCTCTGCCGACCTCCTTGCATCAGTCCGAAGATGATAGTGATGAATCCTGGGGGATTTGGTCACCAGCTGCTGATTCCGCAGGCACAGATCCACAGGATCCATTTCAACAAGAAGTCCCACGGCATCAAGAGGGAGGCAGAAGAGAGCATGACTGGCAGCCAGCAACTCAGCACTCACCAAGTTTAGCAGATCTGGATGGTAATCTTGATCGGCTCTCTGGACGGGGCGCTCACGAAACCAGACGAGTGATGATAGGCAAGCTCCTCACACAGGCTCTCAGACATGACCCAGTGAAGTATGGCATTTCGCTAGACACTGCTGGCTATGCCAATCTGAAAAGCCTTCTTAATTCCAGGCAATTCTGGCGGGCTGAAGTGACAGCTCATGAAGTACAGCGAGTACTGGAAACCTCACAGAAGGTCCGCATGGAGCAGATGATCTCAGAGGAAGACGGTGAAATCTACATCAGAGCCTTACAGGGTCATGGTCGTGACATCCCACTGGACGATGATCAACTGCATGAGGTTCTGACCTCCTCAACAACACCGGAGTGGGGTGTCCACGGGACGAGCTGGCGGGCCTGGCAGCAGATTCGCTCCTCTCAGCTGCGCAGAATGCAAAGACGTGACATACATATGTCTTTGTCACCAACCAAAACTGCAGGATTCAGGGAGGACTCCTCAGTGGAGATCTGGATCCACCTGCCGTCTTTGATCGACAGTGGACACAAAGTGCGTCGGGCGAAGAATGGAGTACTGCTGACGCGTGGACCCATTGACCTGTCCCACATCAGCACTGTCATAGATCGGCACACAGGCAAGTCTCTGCCCTTCTAAAGCGTCCTCAGCAGTTTCACCTGTACCGAATTCGTTCTGCCGTGGTCTACTTTCGCAGCTGGAGGCTTCCTCCGGAGGATTCCTCCACTTCATTTTAAAGTAGACAGCAAGTACGCCCTCTGCTTAAGGCAACAAAGACTTTGATACAGCCTGAGCGAGTTGTCTCTCTTTGCATGCTCTAAGAGGAGTTTCCCCACCCTCCACCTGCACATTGCCCAGGTGAGCTTAGCGTCGCGAAGTCCACAAGCAGTGGCAGGCACTTCCTTCTGCAGTTCCTTGTTCTTGAGCTGTGCAGCTTTCAGCTAGAGCCCTTGCATGCTTGTTAGCAATGGTCAATGCCTGCCTGACATAAGAAACCGCTTCACACTTCCGTTGGCAGTAGCCATTCTAACCTCGAATCCAGCCATCAACACCTGTGTTTCCAATGGAGAGCACTAGCTTGGTGCAAGCGCTCACTCCGCTCCTGGTTGCTCTCGTACACCAGCAGGTAGTTGCTGAGGACCAGAACATCTCCTCCGAGACTACCAGCACAAGGGTTGCGGAGTATCTCTACACTCACAAGGTGAAAATCCTCGCTCAGTTCATGAACTACGCACATGAGGTGCTCCAAGCAGAGAGGTTGAAGACACTGCTTTGGGCAGTACAGTCATTGACCGGATATGATGAATGGCGTGAAATCAAGGCGGCCCGGCGCCAAAAGTTGCGGAGCATCAGCCTACGATACTTAAGCCTGATGAGGTTCACCGAGCTTCCCACCACCCAAGGAACGTGGTACTACAGCGTGATCCTCATCGAACTAGAGAGCTTCTATCGTGAGACGCACATTATCCGGTATACCTCAAGCATGCTTCCGCCGCATCTTGACGCTCAGTATCAACAAGAGGTTGGGCAGGTGCGTGATGAGTTCTTTGCAGAGGATGCGGAAATGAACATAGCGATCGCACAGTGGACCACAATTTCGGCAGGACTCACAGTATGAGTGGAGGCTACCTCCGGAGGATTCCTCCCCTTCCTGCACCTCGCCGATTCCCTGTACACTTTTCAACACCTAAATCGGCACATTTGAAGGTGCAACTCTCAGCTCGACTAAGCCATGCATTAGTATGGCAGAACTCCATTTAGCACAGAGGTTGATAATAGTGTCTCTTTCTTTCTTTCATTAGGAGGCTTCCTCCCATGTTGTTCGCATATTTCATCTTCTTGAGACCTTCCTCATACATTAAAGTGCAATGGAGCTTCTCCAGCAAGGGATTGCAGTATCACTTGTCCAGCCTTGCAACAAAAGCAGATGGCTTTTTGTGACCATCAGCGGCTATGAGGAAGAAATCTTGCCTGAGTCTGTGTTGCACAATGGGGATCCCACCCACCTACCCCATGCAGAGCACACCGCTCGTGATGCAGGCTGCATTTGGCTGACGTCAACCGATGCTCTGAACAATCAGGCAGGGAGTGATCTCCAGATAGCATCGCTTGCAGCTAATCATCTCGTTAGCACCAGCATGCATGCTCACACTTGATGGAACTTTCAGTTGTGAGCAGCTTGCGCTTCAGGCAAACTACAATCATTAATTCTCATTTTCAGTCAGCAAGCTGGCAATCTTGATCTACTCTAGTTTGCAATGCACTTTTGTTTCTATCTTAATTTAATCTTACCGTTTTCTTGAACCTATTGATTCATTGCATCAGATGAGGAGGTTTCCTCCTGAATATCCTTAACCCCACATTTTCTCGACCAGGTGTGAAATTTTGCCCTGTCGCAGCGCTGGCCCCAGGAGCCGCGCAAGGCGTCCCAGGCCAGACTTCGCAAACTCAGCTTCCCTGCATCCAATTTGGGCATCCTACTTGGAACGTGCAAGGCGCCTTGGTGCGCTCTGCCTACGGCCCTCTGCCAGTTGTTTAGCGTTACCTGTGTGAGACGTCACTAGACGGGAACGCTGAGTGTCGGCCTCACCAGAGGTACGGCTCGCTAAACAGCTGGTGCGTGGGTGCTGGACGCAGTGACTCACAGTAGGGTGTCGGGGTAGCCGCGCTTACTTTTCACTCTTTGCAGTGCTGAGTACTTGATATCGGTGGCTGCCTCCGTGCCAACTTCAATTTCTTCATTGATTCATTGCATCAGGTCAGGAGGTTTCCTCCTGAATATCCTTAAGTACTCTGCCAAAGCAGATTCAGTATAGCAGGTAGTGAGACCTGGCAATCTGGAGGAAGCGATCCTCCCGAAGTCCAAAAGGCAGGACTGTGAAATAACAAAGGCGGGTGAGACCTTCTATATCATCCTTGCCCGCCTTAATCACACCAAACTCAGCTAGCGCACAGCTATAGCCTGCAACACAACATCGGGGCCAGCCGGCACTGCTGCAGTCGCGGGTGCAGGTGAGCCAGTAGGAAGCGGTCGTAGGGTGCCCAGCCAGCACAGCGCTATCGCAGCCCCGAGGGGCGGATGCATTCCACATATTCGAACATAGCTGTGCACAACAATCTTCAGCAGCCCTGAGGGGCGTGAAGTACGAACTAGCAAAGACTGCTGGAGCTCCCAAGGCGGATACAGAGTAGCCGACGTGCCGAGGATCCAAAGTGATCAGAGGTCCACATGCTGATTCTGGCAGTGAGTGCAATGCAAAAAATGTTGTTGTTGTTGTTGTTGTTGTTGTTGTTGTTGTTGTTGTTGTTGTT